GTAGATGCGTGTGGGACCCGACCCGACCAGACATTAGTGTAACAGCGAGCATTCAAATATGCATGCGCCGTCTGGTGCACTTCGTGCTGCGTATTGTCTTCCGTCACGCAGCTCCAGGCATTCCCATACGCTGAAAGAGGATCAACTTGTACTTGTGCTTGAATTAAGAAAGTGCCCGCAGACCTAAACACCGATTCGTGATGATGATGTGGTCGGTGTTGCACCGGACAATGAGAAGACAATGCTGGGACGCAAGCTCGCTGGCCGGGCACCGTTTTTCTTGACTTGCTGCAAACATGCTGGATCGCACGGCCATGATACGCGACTCGTCTACCCGACCCATGACTAGGCTATATTAGACAGGAGTAATAATACTCGGCAGGTACGGAGCACAATCTGACCATCGCGGCAACTTCAAACATTGGGCAGTCAAGGATGGTTAAAATTAGGCACGGGGCCATGAAGGCTACAACGGCAGGCCCAGTGCCTCGTTCCCATCTACGGAGTACTTCTGCCCCAATCATTCAGCCACACTCTCCACGAAAGTGGCATGCATAAGGCGGAAATAGCACTTGAGTGAGGTCTGCATTAGCACCACGGGCATCCTATGAACATGATCAAAGAGGACGGGCAGCAGACGGCTACCAGTTCCAAGGCGACTCGAGGGGTGACCTATCCATTCAATATTGCTCAAATGCTTAAGGGCTACCAAACCGTGGAGTCTCGTCAATTGTTTTAAGTTTCAGAGGCCCACAAGCCCAATTACCTGCTTAATGTACCAGCATGTGGACATCTGGGAGTCTGGTACTTGAGCATGCTGCACATGTGTGCTTGCAGCGCACCGCCCGTCGATTGATGTGGCAAATGACTAACTAGTAACTATGTTAACAGGCAAATGGCCCCTCTGCTGCTCCATTCCGTACGTCACCAATGGCCCCGAGTCCCCAGGCCACCCAATGTTCTGATACTCCATAGTTACTTGGATCCTAGTTCGATCATCCCTCTTGATGACCGGCTGATTACTCTCATCAACACGACATCTAGTTGCAAGAGCGAAAGGACCCCCTGGCCGATCATTAATCATACCAAACTTCAGAGCTGCGCCCCAATATGATATTTCCCCAAGAAGTGATACCTTCATCGCCTTGTATGGCTTAATTGCTTCAGCTGAATCTAAGTCACTAACAACCACGAAAACCAGAAGCCCAACAAACAAGTGAAGCCTATCGCTCGGCGCGGGTATATCGTTCCAATCGACTCAAGAACGAATGGCCTCAATCTTTACATACGATCCAGACCCCCCGCGGGTCTCTTCTCCCTGGCTGGCTCGTGAAGATTCAAACGTACTCAACAGATCGCCGCGAGACTCCACAAGTCCTGGGTTGTTGTCTGAATATGGCGTCAAAAAGCTGCAAGCTGAGCCCCAGGAAGGACCAACGGAATATAAGCTTCACCTGCTTCTGAGACCAAGAAGAGCATTCAAGTCTATGAGCACTATCAAACAGCCTGAAAAACCCTCTCAACCTGTTTGCCCCAAAGACGTACGCGGTGCAAAACCACCGACATTGACCGTGCCAGCATCAGGGAACTTACCCCGTCAGGAGAGACTGAAGCATCTCACAACACAACTGCTGTGGCGTCTCCAACAGTCTTCTCCATACCATGCCACTAGTTCCAAAGAATTGTCAATACCCAGGCTACCCGATGACAATATTGACCTCAGCTCGTCAATTAGGCTGGAACCACTGGTTCCTGGGCTCGAGGAGTCAAGAGGTGCGCTGTACGAGATAGGGGTATCCGATGACGGGACACTGGTTGGTTTGACAAAGGATGAGATGGCTGAAAGTATCAGCACACTGCGTGTCATGGCGGCAAGTCTGGGCTGCACTGTAGATATTGTCCGCATGGTTATTGTTGGAGATTGTGAGTGGGAGGAGATCGCGTCTTCCATGCATGATGGTAGCCGAGAAGTAAATCCCATTACGAAGAAAGGGAAACTCTCGGTGGCGGAAGCTCTTGTTACCCCCAATCTCGGCCTTCATGATACCTCAGATACAGAATGCGGGCGGTCTGGCCAAAGCACGTCGAAAGCAAGCGGCACGGCTTCTGTTACCCCTGAGCAAGTCGCCATGCCCAGCAGAGGAAGCTCAACGACTCCGCAACTTAGAGTGACCCTTACCGGACCCACTACGTCGGGTAAATCGAGTTTACTAGGTACTTTGTCAACTGGAACTCTGGATAATGGCCGAGGGAAGAGCCGGTTAAGCTTGCTCAAGCATCGTCATGAGATGGTGTCCGGCGTGACGAGTTCAATAGCACAAGAGCTCATTGGATACAACAAGAACTCAATTTTGAATTTCTCGCGGGGAAATATAGAGTCATGGGTGGACATTCATGATTGTGCCGAGAATGGCAGATTGGTGTTCCTATCCGACTCCGGTGGACACCCTCGGTATCGGCGCACCGTGCTACGCGGCCTTATGAATTGGGCTCCCCATTGGAGTATTCTTTGTATTGCAGCAGATGCCTCAGAAAATGCTTCTTCAGGTGTAGGAGCCGTTTCCCCAGCCAAAGATGTACCAGGCACTACTGCAGCTGGTATTGACCTAGTATTTGCACATTTAAATCTGGCTCTTAAACTCGAGGTTCCCATGGCGGTGGTCATCACTAAGCTCGACGTGGCCTCCAAACAAATTTTACAGAAAACATTGGTCAACATTCTGGCGACTATCAAGGACGCTAAACGAAAACCAAAGATTCTTCAGCCGGACCAGATACAACACGATGATTTGCGAGATATTCCTGGCGATGACCTCGCCAAGGTGAATGTGGTTGTGAAGAGCATGGCGGAGGGTGAAAACCTAACCTCACACGTCCCAATAATTCTCACTAGTGCGGTGAAAGGAATTGGCATTGGATTGTTGCATGCCTTGCTCGCAAATCTACCGCTGCCTCCGACACCAACGTCGCGAGACTATGTCGGCGTGGCGCTGAATCCCGAACAACCACAATCCCTCTTCCATGTTGATGACACATTTAGCTTACCAAGTTCCTATTGTGCGTTGGCAACCGATAACCGTCAATTAAAGAAGAGAGGCGTGGTAGTTTCTGGCTATGCTCGATTTGGATCTTTTTCAGTTGGGGACAAAATTGTACTTGGTCCTTTTCAACCAGAGGATGAGGAGTCACAAGGATTGGGTTTGACCGTCGACGATCGACCAGCAGTGGGAGCGCATGGACTATCGATTTCACACCCGTCATCTGCGGAGTTGGCTCGAATCGCGATGAAGAACGCCGTCTCTGCATCTGCCATGCCAGGAGAATGGCACAAAGCGCAAATTGTTAGCATTCGCAACTTGCGATTGCCTGTGAGAACCCTTGAACCTGGACAAGCTGGATCTATAGGTCTCGTGTTTGAGCTACCGGGGACATCTTTGACTCCCCCCTTGGCGGAGACACCACGTGTACGCCGGGGCATGGCTCTGGCTGTCCCATACACGCACATGCTGAATTCAAATCTGTCCCTCCAAGCAGCCAGTGGGTTTACGGCTTCATTTTCTGACCCTGCAATATGCTCTCTGACATCGGGCTCTTTTGTCAACGTCTACGTAGCGAGTGTAAGAGCTGCCGCTAGAATTTTGCGAGTTTCGCACGATCAATTCCATCAAGGATCTACGACCACTGGCAGAGATGACATAGAGGACATATTTAGTCTGAACACGGACACTAAGACCGGAGATGCTAAAGTAGTTAATGGAGCGCCTTGGTCTGGCGAGGTGTCGCTAGAATTACTTCATAGTAGAGAATGGATTGAGCTAGGCTCTAAAGTCATATTGCTGGAAGGCGGCAGCCAAGATCGATCGGGACTTGAAGGATTTGTGGGGATGATTGTCGAGATAATTGATTGATTTGAACCTATATAGAAAGTAGAATGTGATGCCATTGCATCTGAACTTCCGCTATTCATCATTCGTAGGGAAGTTTGAAGATGCTCAACATATTATTAAGGCCTTTCTGTTGCACAAATGCCATTTTACGCACCAAGATACTCTATCAGGCTCGCACCAGACCGTAAAATAGAGTCCATGTTAGGATAAAGCCCGGGAGTCCATTGAATATCCCACTTGTCCAAAAATCGAAAGCGCTGGTAAAATATCGTCCTGTACTTAGAAGTGGCCGACCCTCTTCCAATGACTCTGGTGCGACCTGAAAACCATAGAACATCAAGGAGGTTACAATTGACAAGACGATGTAGACGAGGAAGCCATTATAGGACTCGAGGCCAAGGATACCGGTGGCAACGCCGAATAACGACGCGGTGAGGCTTTGTAGATTGGACAAAACCTGATTTGTCAGGTGTTAGAGAAAATAACCCACAACAAAGGACTACATGAGCGGCTAAATCCATACCTTGGTATTGTGGACTACTGAATCCGGGACGATGGGGTGAATTTGGTACTCCTGTTCCGAGGGCATCGTGCTGGTGGCCCTTCCGGGTGCAGATCTTGTGATCGCGTATTGTACGACACCTGCATCAAGGTGAAAGGTCCCAAATTTAGATTTTATGCGAGATCGAATCGGAATCGCAATAAGTGGTCGGTAGTTATGCAAATCAACATGTATTGGTTGTATCGTGAACGCTCTGCTTAGCAGATTCGCATCGAGTTATGAGCATCCATCCAGTGTTCACTGTTGACGTTCTTAGAAATGGTCGGGCCGAAAAGCTCCGTTGCGAGGTGCGGCAGTCGGGGGTCATCAACGCCGACAAGCTAGCTGCCCCTCGTTGACATGTTAACGGCCAGTGGGGTGACTCGCATCTATCTTTCATCACGTCGGTAATTGACTTCTTGGAAGCTCCTGTCGCGATGGACCATTCATTCGAGCCATTGAAGAACGATCTTTTACTCCGGGCAGCATGGGGTAGGCAAGTGTCGTTATGCGAATATGTTAAGGCAGTACTGACGGCGTAATGTGTAGGCCAAGAGGTTGAACGCCCACCAATGTGGGTGATGCGGCAAGGTCAGTGCCAGCAGCCTTTGAGCACTACCATATGCGGCAAATCATTCTATGACAATTGGTTCACTGACAAAGACTTATAGCTGGTCGTTATCTGCCTGAATACCATGAGGCGAAGGGAAATCGCGATTTCTTCGAGTGCTGCCGTGATCCGGAGGTTGCGTCGACGCTGACCCTCCAACCCGTCGAACGTTTTGCTGGATTACTGGACGCCGCTATCATTTTCTCGGACATTCTAGTCATTCCACAGGCAATGGGAATGCAGGTCGAGATGGTAGACAAGAAGGGCCCGCACTTCCCTAATCCTTTGAAGACCCCCGAGGATGGCCAATATGACCAAGTTCTCAAAAAAGACGTGCAGGTGGCGGAAGAGTTAGACTACGTCTACAAGGCCATCACACTTACGAGAAAGAAAATCGCTGGGAGAGTACCTCTAATTGGTTTCTGTGGTGCTCCTTGGACTCTCTTTTGCTACATGGTTGAAGGTGGTGGCACTAAACTGTTTGCTCAGAGCAAGACTTGGATATACAAATACCCCGAGGAAAGCAAGAAGCTTCTGTCAAAGATTGCAGATATATGCGTGGATCACCTGGCTCGTCAAGTAGAGGCTGGTGCACAGGTATGACAAAAGTCGACGGGGCACAGCCGCTCTTGTTGAACTCCACCATTAATAGCTGAATTGCTCTCATGGACTAACATCTTGCCTTCTTCTCTGCTCAGATGGTCATGGTATTCGACTCTTGGGCTGGAGAGCTGTCTCCATCGTCTTTTCGCGAGTTCTCCGAGCCTTACCTGTTACACATTGCACAAAAGCTCCCGAGCAAGCTGAAGAGCTTGGGACTGGATCGTGTTCCTATGACCGTCTTTCCTAAGGGTGCATGGTACGCCTTGGACTCTGTATGCAATCTAGGCTACAACGTTGTGGGCATGGACTGGCTCCAAGACCCTGCAGCGGCTCTCAGGATTCGCGGATCACGCAATGTAGTCTTCCAGGGCAACGCCGACCCTGGTGTCTTGTATGGAACTAAGGAAGCGATAACACTGGCTGTGGAACAAATGGTCAAAGGATTTTGGGCCGCCAAGAAGGGCTGGATTGCCAACTTAGGACACGGTATGGTACAAGCAGAAACTAGTCACTTATGTTGGCCGTCTGACCTGCACATAGCTAACCATATTACATGTACAGGAATTACACCTGGCGTTGACCCTGACAACTTGAAGCACTTTTTCGAGGAGATTCACAGGCTGACAAAAAGTTGAGTATCTGGTCCTCGTCACTTCATGTCGTGACTTTCAGCTAGAACGCTGTCAGTCCATTTGATGCACGCATATGAGGTCAGGAAGCTGGGAGGGGTACGAGATACACTCACACCAGTGCAATATACCGAGCCGATTTTGGGCCATTCCACCATAATGGTCTAACATACTGCATAACAACTCAAACTTGGCACAGAAACATTTTTAATTTTCTGAATCATGAAGGAACCACCACATATTGCTGTCATCTTCTTTTGCCAACTCTGGCATCCGTCGGCCCCTGTGATATATGCCGATGCATTTTGCATCCTCTCTGATCGTTTTGCTGTGATAATTACCAAGGCCAACTTCGAAACATACAGAACGTCTTTCAAATATCATAAACTCCCCAAAACCACCAAGCAAGTCTCAACACCAACACCCACAGCTAGGAAATAAAGTAAGAAAACCACACCAAACCGCAAATCCACGCTCCGCACTCATAGTGCCTCGTAAGTCTTAAAACAGAAACTAAGAGCCACTCCATCCTGAGGGATAGCATCAGACGGAAAAATTTGCGCGTGACAGAACAAAGCAGTGGTGCCATTTCAAGTGGTAATGCATCATGGCACACGAAGCCTATAGCAATAAAGCAGAGAACTCAATCCTATGTCCTTTTCCCAAAGAGCCAATTCTTGCGTTTATTAGAAGTCGCATCAGGATCCGGGCTCGTAACGGCATCACGACTGGGAGCATCATCCGCTACAGCTTGGTCCCTGCTGATTTTACGGCCTAGTTCACCCGTGTCCTCGTTTTCACGAAAGACGTTGCCTGCACCACCACGGCCGGAGTGCTGGGCACCGGAACTGTATCGTCTTGGAACCCTGGCGGAAAAAGCACATGTGTAAGCCGAAACGGTCGACGCTGGTGTGGATCGGGGCTCATCGTCTGTCGTTTACTTACGCTCCAACATCCTGTCGCAGGCGAGTCTCACGGGGGTCATCATTTTTAGCCATATTTCCCGTGCCACCGCGACCCGTGGTGACAACTGGCTTCTTTAGCACTGGCGTCTCGAGGTCTGATGGAGTGAGTTTTGATGATTGGGAGGAGTCGACCATGTTGCCGGCGCCGCCACGGCCGTGGGAGGACAGCAGGGGTATCACTGGCGATCTGCTGGTTTCATTTTTCTGTGCCATGTTTTCGCTTCTTGTCGGAAAATTCTGGCAACCGCAGGAGAAGCTGCAAACTCGAGAGCGCGGGACGGTTGGTGTTTTGAAAATGATGACCCCTTAAGCTCTGTCAGAGTAGCGGGCAACTCTCCTAGCCACTTCGACACCTCGAGATTGATCGCGCGGGTTTATAATGATAAGAATAGGTTTCAAAAAACGTCGAGATGACCAACAGACCGGCGAAGAGGCCTGGCGACGGCAGGTCGGGTGTGAGGAATCGGATGGGGGCGACAGGGTTACAAAATTAATTAATGTTTGACCAGCTGCCCGCTTACTGGTGATGCACGCAAATGGCTGTACACCAGTTGACGGTTCCAGACCCTTTGGATGGAGGATGGCCTGCGCGTACTGCCTTCATCGGTTTGGTCTGTGGTTCCTTGTGCCGACATGATTCAAGCCATTTGTCACAGCGTCCTTCAGGACTACATATGTATCCATCCGTCAGTGACTAAGTGGCTAGCCCACTTAGTTGCCAACGGGTAGGGTAGCGCTAGTTGCTTGTAGGTGAGCTCCCTACGTCAACTGATTGAGTCTGCTTGATCTTGACAAACAAACCCCCCTTCTCCTCCCATTGCCTTGAACATGCAGCTACGAGTATCCCTAGGTGGCCAATAAAGATACAGTTGGAAGCTACAACGATACAACCTGAAGTTATGGAGCACGTGGCGATGATGATGCTGTAGACCTAGGGATTTGGTATATGTGCTGTGGGCAAAACCTGATCAACATCACATTGGACCTCGCCGACTAGGTATTTATATGATTGCTCCTTACGTTGCGCACTGACGTGTCAATGCTATGAGCCGAAGGGGATTTGATAATCCATTGACATCATTAAAAGTCTGCCCGTCTACCGACGCGGTCTAGAGCTATTGATCCGCCCTCCCTTGTTTTCATGTGGATGATTCCATCTGGAGTATACGCTACATACCTACCTAGGTAGGTACCTACCTACGCGCGCGGCCCCTGGTTCTGGTGACAGCACAACTATCACAAGACAGGTCTTAAGTTACTACCAGCTTTTAAAAGCCTATAATATTAAATAAAAACTCTAATAAGCTGGCTTACGATAGCTGATGGTTTGGTGACAGTCACCAAAACACTCCCCTGGCCTCCTAGGCACCTGCGTAGGTAGCTGGGAAGCATACTCCAGTTCACCTGTAGACTTGAGTTCCGGGGAGGTGGATATACATATACTACTTTGGAGCAGAGATGCTAGACGGCCCATAGAATGCTGTTGGGGTATTTCGTATGACGTATACCGACACATGAATCAAGGACATTGCAGGAGGCGTAGGCAAAGTCTTTTTGATATTGTACCTGAAATCTCGTCGTCGAAAAGAAGCTAATAGTGAAACGAATAAACCAGCACATTCCTTCTCCCAATAACATAATATTATCTGGAAGCCCTCGTGCAGCATACAACTTACTAGTCCACTGAATAAATAGCTTAGCATAAGCGTATTATCCACAAAGTAGCTTATCTTGTTCCTAACTGACTCTCTTTGTCTATTCCCGGGGCATATTCGCCTCCCCCCAGCTCTCCAAATGGCCCGGGCGCCTGCAAGGACTACCCACACACTGAATGAGGAGCTTGACTTGGTCTCTCCGTCAAATATTTGTCCATCCAGTCGTCTCCGCGAATGATGAAGGAAGACACTAGTCGCCGTAGTCGTCGTCGTCACCACCTTTAACATTCGAGTCCTTTCGAATTGGTATTTTGATTCCTTGAGTGGCAAATGTCTTGCTCAACGGTGTGCTTTCACATACACCGGGAAACTTCTTGGCCGAGTATACATTGAAAACGTCGCTAAAACAGCACGCCAAAATTGGGGCCCTATTTTTGTTGATCTTTGGAGCACCAGAATCGCGAGGGGTGCCGTCTGGAGGCCCGACATTCACAAAAGAGAACCGCAAGCTGTGACAGCACAATTAAGTTAATGCGTTGACAAAGACTAAATCATCCATGGGGTATTCGTACCGGAAGGGGCCTTCTGTCCGGACACTGAGGTCTTGAAGAACAAACCATATTCCGATACGGTCATGAGTGTCGCTAAGACGGAATGCACTAGCTGCCAAGCTGCCGATCAGATTTCGAGTGAACATGCCCTGTGGCTGTCCACCAACCATTGCCATCCTCGCCAGAGGATTATGGTCTTGAACATAGCCCGTTGAGCCGGTAGAACCATTTCTAGTATACGGAGAAACATTCGACTGTGAAGGTAGAGAAACAACATTCCCCTCAGGACGGTATGACTGGTGGTGAGGGAAATATTGCTGTGGTGGGCCATATGAGCCATTTGAGGGATATGATGGCGCTGTAGACGAAAAAAAAAATCAGATGTATCTACTTCTTCTTCTTCTTCTTCGTGGATACCATTTGGCGGTCAAAGGACACAAACATATACGTACCTTGGCCGTATCCACCTTGTATTTGATAGTCCTGACCGTAACCGACAGTGGGGGATGTATTGTACGATTGGTCGCGATTAGATGGAAGGACATGTTGCGTGTACGGGGCCATCCCGGTATCACCTCCATTCAAGGTGGTATATGAGAAAGGTGTTGTCGATGAGATCGAAGGGCTGCCCGTGGAGGAGCGAACAAGATTGACCTCCTTTGTGCCGTCTTCATTCCAGAGATCAACGTTGAGGACAAACATGGAGTGGTCGATGTCACTAACAAAACGTGTGAGTTAGGCGGGATCATTAGAGGAGCTAGCTCACCGCAGGGAAGGCGCACTTGCAATCAATTTCTTTGCCAGTGGAAATATCTGTAATAATTAGACGGACACACGGAGGTGGAGTGATAGGCCGTCGGTCCTGAATCTAGTTAGGGAGCCAACAAAAGACATAATGATGGCAGGATGGTGTCTTTACCTTATCGCCGAACCCGCACATTCGCGCTCGTCGGGGTTGTTGAACAACGTCGAGTCTGAGCTTGCATCAATATCTCCCATTGGATATAAGAATCGAACAAGATAGACCTAGTAGTACGTACTGGTATTTGCGACCAGTCGCCTCATCAATTTTGGAGAAGGGGCTCAATATCTGCTGGGGATTCCCAAGAGGTTTCCCTGCGGGTGCAGATGTTACACCACCAGCCGGTGCTGGCTGTGTGTCATCTTGCCTAGAACGCGAAGGAGGTTGCATTTGTGACGGGGGAAGTTGGTGTTGAGAAAGCAGATGAGAGGGGTGAGACTGGACATGTTGAGAGAGTTGATGAGGTTGTGGATTTGGGTGTGAATGATGAGGGGGTTGACTTTGTGACTGGCTGCCAGGTCGTTGATGATGTACTTCGTGAGCACCGAGCTGTGAAGGACGAGGCTGCGACGGCGGTAGCTGTTGATGCTGCTGCTGGTTATGGTGACTGTGATAACCATACATTGAATGACCGGTGGTCTGGTGGCTTGAGGCAGCAGTTGAACCTGGCGGCGGGTACGAGCCGCCTGGAAGAGGTAACTGCTGCGACATGTCTGAGGCAGGAGGGTACGTCGAACCCATTTCGTCGGAGCCCGAGAGACTGTATTCACAGAGCGTTGCAATATCGAGCAAAAGGACCACGGAAACCAGACAGCCTTTGCAGCCGTGCGCGCAACCGCGACTTGGAGGTTTGTGATGTCACGGCGCAGCGCGGCAGTCAAGATATTGGTGGTGGTGTTGGGCGCGCGAGTGAGCTATTATCAGTCAAAGCTGCAGGGAATTTGCCGCTTTCATGCTCCAGGCCGACCGGGCTTGAAAGAAAACCGAGAATTTTTTGGGTCCTGGTGTCGCGAAGGACTGCGACAGGAGGGCGACCTGCGTGGAAGGGAACGAAATAGAGGGTCTAGATGTCATAAACGGCTTAATGTTGGGCAAATCTTGGACGGGTCGAACACGTTGGGAACAAATGCCCACAGTACGACAGATTATTTCGAAGCAGAGCAAGCCAGCCAACCAACCGAACAGGGGGACTGGAGTGACACACAACAGCGACCAGCCGCGGGCGAGATGGATCAATGATGCTTTTTGCAGCTCTGAATGTTGTGGGGAAGCGAAATTTGTACTAATAATTGCTTTCTGGAGCATTAAGCCGGCCGCATAACCAGTCCAGTTTCAATCAGTTGGCGTCCAGATGCTTGGAGGTGGCGCTCGCCCGAAAGACGGAGCCGCCGAGCGTGTGTGCTTTCGATGTTGGCCCGGCACTTTTGGCATGCCAGCATCATTTGACTCTTGAGGGCCGTGTGATGGCCGGATTTGAGCTGTCTACAGTGTGCTCCAAACTGGAGCTCCTGATGTCCTTACTCAGTTACTGAGGGACCCTGACCAGTGCTTTGCAGCTTCCCAATCCAGAGATAGCTGGCGCTTCCAACCGCGTCACGTTGAGGCCGTGTTGGGCTTCCGGTTGGCGGCCAGAGAGGTCTTGTAGAATGTCAGAATGTCTGGCGTCAAATAACTGGTCCGTTTCCCCGTGCCAGTAGCGCGCCGACTGAGCCACGAACGGATGTCCGGTGAACGCCGAGGCTGTCAAAATTGACCTGTAGGACATGTGCACAGCTTGGCCATCAAACCAATGGACACGCCATTGGCTTGCCCTCGATGGTTCCCTCGGACGATAAAAAATGCTTGCACTCCCTCCGGGCCTAGGCAATGACTGGATTGGCAGGTAGCATCAAGCATTATTACCCATGCTGGCGCGCAGTACTAGAACAAGACGTCCGGAAGTGCAAATGTGGGTCTGGAGCCAAGTTACGGCAACAGCCATGCTCCTCATGGTGGTCCCTGCCGGCGGGCATTGATATTCATTGATATTTTGGAACATGAAAGATGGTGGTGGCTGGAGGATTGAACTATGTAGGGTCTCGGATTGCTTCTGGTGGTGAGAACATGGCAGGGTCATCGACAGTGCAAGGATGATGAACGTCGAATGGGACGGTTCGTCCAGGATTACTACTCACGGATTGGCTCCCAGGCGCAACAAATAAACCATAGTGTACGGAGTAACTACTTGCGGATACCGTAAGCAAAGTCAATGCCGCAACCAACTATACTCATTCACACTACATAACTACCGGATAGGTAGCCCTGGAGGTCGGTGAGAGACGACATCGACGCAAAAGGTCACAAACGGTGAAACTGTGGATTCGGGTTGTTGGGTGCATGATTTAGCTAAGGACACGTGCATATCCTTGGCCCAAGTGTCCAAGTTGGAGTCGGCGGCCATTTTTGGGCCTCCGCAGGCCTCGATCGTGTCTGGCGTGTCTACCCGGCTGCAATATATCAAGGCAAAACTTGAACTCTCTACTCTCGAGCTGGCAGGATGAACCTCTTATTGGATGCCTACTGCGTAATGCTTCATACATATTACCTCACTCGATACTCACATTCCAGACTTCAGGGGCGGGGGATGCTACCCTCACTACATGCACCAGCCCATATCAGTTCTTTGCCCAATACGGAGTATTTAATGTCGAGATGTGGTGTCGTGCTGAAATCGTGTGGTGGTCGACGGATGAGGTCCAGTCACACGTAATACCTGCCCCGCGTTCGGAGCTCTCCTGGCTGCAGCAAGAGAAAAAAACCGCTTGCCCCTCCATGGGCTAGTGATTCCTCTAATTTCCGCTCATCAACTTCTTGCGCGACCTAGACCGGAGAGATTCCTTCTGCAACAGAATATGGATCTAGTCAACCAGTAAGTACGGACAGACCTACTCTCTAGCTGGTGCCGCCTTGACTCTTTTCTTGTCCTCCCCAAACACCTATCATGCAGAGCTGCTGTCTCTGCGATGCTGTCGCTGTATCAGACTTGCTGACCCGACCTTTTCGCAACCCAGCCTCGAGGGTCGCCTTTTGTTCGCGGTACCAAAGAGTGAGTGGTATTGTACTTGGGATTTGTGTCACTCACTAGCATAGTGGTTGAAACCTTCAATGGCTGACTTCCATGGATGTAGAGGGCCGGTTGAACCAAGCTGCGCTGAATTTGCTAGAAGGTGCCGATATCCAATTCCGCCGCGAAAACCGACTTGATATCGCTCTCGTCAAAAATCTGCCAATCGCACTCATATTCTTGCCCGCAGCGGACATTCCAACTTTTGTCGGCCAGGGCCGCGTTGATTTGGGCATCACAGGATGGGACCAGGTCAAAGAACATGATGCATCTGTGCGTGCCGTGACGAGCAGCGGTGTGGACACAGACGAGACGCCAGATTGTGAGATGGTTATGGAACTAGGGTTCGGCGCATGCAAGCTCCAAGTGCAAGTTCCAGAGAAGGGTGAATACGTCACCGGCCAAGACCTGGTTGGTAAAACTATTGGTACAAGCTTTGTGCACCTAGCTACCGAATATTTTTCTCGACTAGAAGCCAAAGATGCTAGCGATGGCTCTTCGTCCGGTTCTAGGCGAAAGCCGCAGACCAAGATTGTTGAGCTGAGCGGCAGCGTTGAAGCCGCTTGTGCCTTGGGAGTTGCTGACGGAATTATTGATCTTGTTGGTAAGTTTGAGCTACAAAACGCCTAACCAATACCATCACCATCAAAATGTCTTGGTTGCCTTGGAGACTACCTTAGGATACGGGTTATCGTACAAAGACAGTGTTGACATGTGGCCCGCAGAATCCGGCGAAACCATGCGTGCTGCTGGCCTCAAGGCTATAGAGACTGTTGTGGAATCGACTGCTGTTCTTGTCAAGTCTCGGTCCCCATCAAATGCGGACATGGTTGACCTAATTGCTTCGAGAATTCGAGGAGTCATTGCTGCTCAACGATACGTATTGTGCCAGTACAATATCGAGAGATCGCGGCTTCCGGATGCTAGTAAAATAACCCCCGGTAAAAGAGCGCCAACAATCACTACCCTTGACGCTGAAGGATGGGTCGCAGTCAGCTCTATGGTGGAAAAGAAGATGATTGCTCTCGTAATGGATGACTTGACTCGGGTTGGCGCCCACGATATCCTCGTCCTCGATATCCACAACACGCGATGAGCCTGTCGCCATCTGAACGGCAACGGTTGCTATTGGATCGTAGCCCGTACTTCCTTAACAATCGTTGTTCGCAGTTGACTCAATAGGTTAAGAACAGAGACTAGTGGCCTAGCGGCAGTCGTATTAAGCCTGGGTTGGCAAGAGTCGGGGACGCAGCGCTGAAAAGACTCCGGGGACACTAAACTAGATAGATTCCTCTCACATAATTCCGCAAGCTGGTTCCGGGGCGACCAGCTAATTGACGTATATGACCAGTAAACATTGCCTCTGTGCCAGGAGTGACGAGGACCACGCACATAAATAACACAAAACCTATAGGAAGGTACTCGCTTCTCTAAGTCGGCAGTCCTCTGATCGGCCGCCTTTTGTCATAATGAGAGAATGTGACAAGCAGGACACCAAACCAAGGCTCTGTTCATGCTGAGTCGACCCCCTTTATCACAGGAGAATGGCAATTCTAATTGCGAGAATGCAAATAGTCACCCTGGCTGTAGCACCCTGCGGTAGAATCTACCAGTTGCGAAATCAGAGGACCGAATTCAGCCACAATTCGTACCATTTGGGGTTTCGCGCATCATAGGGTCGGTAAGCTCTTAACACGGCCCACCGGCTCGTCATGGTTTGTCGAGGTTTCTCGTCTTTCGCCACGACAGCGAGATGCTACGGAAGGGGATTATTCCCAGCAAAGCCTTGCGTACTTAAGTACTTGAGGAGATATGTGAGGACAACACGGCAGCAAAGTTAGGCCTGACCAACTTAGGACCAGAGTAACATTGCTTTTATCGTTCTTTCAGAATAGTCAGCACTGATGACTTTGTTCACCACTCAAATACTCCGTACACAGCTCACAAATGCAGTCTTGATCTTCTCCATTTTCTAGAGCTGCTCATTTCAGTTGCTGTGCTTGCCTCGAGGGCAAGTCTTCATTACCCTTGTCTACTTCTCCCGGCTTATAGTATTACAACCTCCGCGATGTCAGATGGTGACTTGGCCCTCGGGCATAAGGTTGCGGAGTCTCGCCTATCGTGGGATACGTCTTCTGTATGCACGGTATGGCTCCTTTCTAGGATGATACAATGTGATCGTAGCCCGGGAATAAGACCTTTGGCGTCTAACTAATGTATAGATTATTATGACTCCAATAAACTTTGTCTCGTTCCTGTTATCTCTTGTTCTAGTCGACCTTGAGTACTCCTATATGAGGGTTCGCAATCATTCTGAGGCATCAGGCCGCTTGCCTACATGGCTTCACCATATAATATTCCAGCCACAGCCGTATGAGGCTGATATACGCGTCAGATCGCAAGGTCCTCATCATTACGAAGAGGTGTGGCATTACCATACTAAGCAAGGACGAATTATGTAATTGGAAGCCGAAGCAGCATTCAGAATTCGCAACACAGTCATCATTTTCCTGGTCGTCTTCTTAGTCATTGTCACTTGGGTTTTGTGGCACTTGGCCAAAGGGCTTTATTCACGATGGTGCTTCTAACATTGTGATTGCCCTTTCGATATATATAGTGAGAAACAATGGCGACTCTTCAAACTTTCTTCAAATTACAGACATCAATTACTGAGGTGACGAAAATGAGGCACGTAATAGGGGCATATACAGACTGTCTCTTTCCGATTTTTTGATTTAATGCCATCGTATGGCATTCCTGGCTTTTGTTACTTTTTTTTTTTTTTTTGGACAAACTTTGGATTGCCCCTAGATTGGGAGTGTAAGCTAGTCAAGCTATATCACAATGGTTCGAGAAGGACGTAGTTGCACAGAAACCGGGAGAAGAGGAAATCGCATAGGCCATAAGTTCTACGCGACGTAATTACATTTACATATATATGGAGTGTTTGTGTATTTGGGACTGATGAACTGCCAATTGTATCTTGTGGGGAGAAATACCGAGGCTTAGAACATGATATGAGCTCGCAAACCCGTCAATGAGATGGAAACCTCCAACGAAACGTAGATCTCGAAACACACCGCATTTGTCCCCAACCGAAAAGAATGAACTTTTAAATAGAGCATGATCGGATCCTTTCTTCTAAACTACTCCAATAAATCAAGGGACGGGGTTCCAAAACACCAAGGCCCGTCGGAAAGTATCTCCGCTCTTCTTCAAGTATAGACATAGATGGCTGACGAGATATAATGGCGTTTACGGGGCTTTCTGTGGTTGATGGGGTATGTTTGATACTCGGCTTGTTGGTGCTTTCATGGAAGGAAGCTGTTGACAGCCATGACCGGATTGAAAACCTCTGATTTCGTAGCTGGTCGTCCGAAGTGGAAGACTGGAATCGAAGGTAAGGCATCGTAATGAGAAGAACAAGACCGCAGTGGAAATACGAAGAAAAGACTCGCCAGCGAGCAGAGAGTATCAGAGCGCAAGTCTGTTCTTTGATAGATGTCCCGTTGAGTGTGTCCTGCTATACAGAACACTGTTGAGTAGTTTGTTTCTGGTATGAGGCGAGATATTTTCAAGGCGTCGAAGAAGAGTATAGACAGGGGTAGGACCGGAAGACCAAAGAGGTTGCGGGATCTCCAAATATATCCGTGTTTCGTAAGTGTGTGTTCAAGATGATCCCTTTCGAGCTGGGCAAATCAAGGGACCGCAATTTTAAATAAGAAAAGAATGAATTTAGCAGAGCCTGCCTAGCTCGTGGTTGCTTTCTCTCCTTCTGCCCATCTGGATGGAATTAATTGAATTGAAAGTGGCCTCATCGCGCGTAAGGGAGGGGGAACCTCTTATTAACACAGCCAATTGTGGGACAACTTGTCCAAGCCCAGCACATACAATATAGGACCTAGCGAGTATTGCTTCCCTTCTGACAATCAAACCGTTTGGGCTATTGACTGGTGCCCAAATAGTCCGACGTCTAATGCCAGAGGAATGCCCCGCTGGCAAAGGGGAGAATAAATGAATGCTACACCACATCCCATTTTGGTGCGGAATGCCCCAAGTCGCAGGGTCGTATCCCTGTGGACGGAGCGTCGAAGCACATTAATTAAGCCCTCCATGTATGAGCCTTTTGGGATGAGGGCATTACGTTATCATCCCCTGGTCGGTTTCAGGGTCGCCCTGCATTCAGGAGACAATTCAACGCGAAAACCCTGGCCAAGCCCCTGTGATCGCCGAAACTGAAACCAGCGTTGCTTCTGTGTCGCATCAATGGCATGAACCGGCCGCGCCGCAGGAGTGGATGCAGGCACTAATCGACTTGTCAAAACCAAGCATTCGGTGCTGCGGAGTGGTGAGCCCATGTAATCCAGAGTCATTCCTCTTTTGAACACAGAATGGAGACACGTTGAAGATGCGCATAGTTTTAAGAGTGCTTGCACAGCCGAATTTCGTCCAATACCCATACACTAGGCCTCGATTGGGAGCCACTGCTTGTCCTTTGATAAGGACATCTCGTATTCGAGCGTCTCACTTTGCATGATACTAATAGGTGTCCAGGTAAAATGACATATTAATAATTTTATACCTCTACCACGATGTCGATACGTCACGCCGTGTGCCCTGAGAACCCCCTACTAATGGTACTAATAATGAGTAAAATAAAATAAAGCCAAATAATTGATTTTCTTCATGCATGTACCAACGCCAATACTGTTGTCGCTATTCTCTCATACATAGCGGGTTCCCTTATGTGTTATTGTTTCCCTCATCTGTAGCATCCGATATCGCGCCGGATTCCTTCTTACCCAAGATCCCCAAAGCGGTATGATCCCCTATCGGGTTTCCGTAGCGTCGCACTTCTTCTGATACTTTCCATCCACACGGAATCATCAAGCATATCGCGCGCCTCCACTGGGTTGGTTGCGCTTCCACGACGGCTTGCTTGGGACACGTCTTGAGTCTGGGATTCGGGCTCGTAGAGTTCAAAACTAAACCCAAAAGTGGTGTCTTGACGCGAAGAAGTAGTTTGAGATGACCGAGGGTGACTAAGAGGGTGCTCGTATGCTGCGTCATGAAGGCTGAGATGGGTTGACTCTGATGGAGCTTGCTGACCAGCTCCCTCGCCTACGCTCAGTTGTGTCCACCGAGGCTGCTCTGGAAAGGCCGTATCCCTTCCCTGGTTCTTCGTCAAGTCGCCACCAAGCTCCTCGTCCACAAAGATGTGCGGTATTGCAAGCTGCGGAATCACTGACATACGAGATGCACGCTTCTTCTCCATGTGCTTTTTGAATCTTCTTGACCAGTAACTGAGATGGGCTGAGTTAGCTCACGCACTTTATTGTGTTTTTCTTTCGGCGAGACCTCTTGACGTAGCTTTTGGGTAAGGGTGTCTCTTACAGTGTATCGAAAAAGCCTTGGACCACCTTCCGCCGTACTTCTTCATCGACACGTTGCAGTCGAGCTCGGCGTCGCAAGAATTCTTCAAGTCTATGCAATATGTTAGCACAGCTTCAAATACCTAAGGCCTGCGAACAACGTCTTACTTCAAGCTCTTGCTGTCATTGATAATGTTGTAATGAGCAAGAATTAATAGGACATCCGTAAAAGCAATACCTCTGTCTGGATCCGCGGATACCAGCACTTCCCCAAAGAATATCTTGAATCGGCGGCGACGCTCGCGAATCTTCTCCACGTCGAGCTTAGCCAGTCTCTGGTTAAGCCTGTCTATGTCGATGTCATTGTAAAAGTTTGCCGTAGCAATGGACAGGTGCCGGGTTGATTTGGAGTCGCCACGCACGTCCTCCAATATTTGTCCAATAGAGTCCTCCGGCTGGTAGATTCGCATCTGAAATACGCCGGAGAGCTCTCCAAGCAGGCGCGGAAACTGTTCTTTGGAGATGAAACCAGTTCCGGTAGGGTCCACGCTCCGCCACGCTTCTTTAAATCGCCGTATTTCATCTCGATCAACTACCGCCATACCGCTAGAGCGTTGATAGACGTAGCTGAAGCTTTCATAAATAAGAGACACGAACAGGTTCACAAAAATATACATGCTAATGATATTCCACGCAACGAATAGAAAGCGAGCCCACGCCTTACTACCGCAGTCGCTGTCGAAGAATTTGTTCTCTTCAACACAAAGGGGTGGCCGTATTTCAGCGTAATTCTCCATGATTTGGTTCCAGCCCTCTCCCAAGCTCATCCTGAACAGAAGAATCAAGGCTTTTGGGACACTGCGAAAGTTTATGTCGCTAGTCTCTTCGTCCCCAAACCGAGTAAGGCTGAATGCCTGTGTCATTGCGATAGCAAAGACAAGAAAACAAACCAGCCAGGTGGCCAATAAATTGCTTATAATCGGCAAGCTGGCTGCAGCAGTCTTAAACAATTGATCCAGGGCATCATTCCTCGGTATTAACAGCAACACAATTGCCACGAGAAAGAATTTGTGCAGTTGGACCGATGCGTCAGCTGTAGAGTCAGCAATCATCAATGCCAGTGTAGCCACAAATGCCCCCGAAACAGTGATAAGCGAATAAAGGTCCCAAGAACTTTTTCGAAATCGAGTCCATCCAAGACCAATGACTCGAACAGCAATGTTACTGGTATATGTCAGAATGAAGAGAAGAAACAAAATTTCTCTAGTTTTAGTCCACCAGAATGGCTCTGAGCTGAACTCGGTCATCAGCAAGACAAGATGAAGCACCAGAACGACAGTAATGACGAGATACCATTTGCCGCGTTTTTCAATGGCCCGTTTATGGCACCATTTCTTCCAGCTCTTCTCAGTTTCTCTGTACGAACTTTTGGACGGTGATATCTGTCGTAGCAGTTTTCGAAGCTCGAGCCAAGATCGCTGTTCTGCGGTAAGAAAGGCAACACCTGTTTGTTCGGTATAATTTCTCATAAAAACAGAAATAAACAGTGTTAGGACAAAGACCGTAGCCATCAAGTTGAATACGACAAAAAAGAGTGCGTTACCCTGTGCCACCAATTCTTGAGGCTGCATTCCTTTGCCGACGATAGCTTGGGCAGCAAACGAAACATCGGTCCAACCCTCCTGGCTGACAATTTGAAATAAGGTGAAGAGAGAAGACCCAAAGTCGTCAAAATTGAAATAAGGATTAGAGGCAACACGCGGAGCTAGCATATTCCAATCGCTTTTGAAAGGAGTGCTGCTAAACTCACCAAAACATCCATCAAGGGTACTGCTGGCGTTGGAGTCATTGCACGCCACCATTAGACCGTTGAAAAGGTTCAAGCCGTATATGGCAAATGGTATCAGCAATGAAAGCGATATTAGTGCAGCCTAGGTCGAGACATCAGTACCGCTTTACGTTTGAGACCTCATGCGAGCGCAAAATACAGAGAAGTGAGACCTACTCCTATCAGTTTCCACCAACCAACAATGATGAGCGAATGGAACGTATCCCTGGCGCTGTCGCTGACATTAAGTAATCGAAGTGCTCGCAAAGCCTTGAACGCGCCAACAGCCCGTGATATGGCTCCATCATTGATTAAAAGTGTGACGACATTAATCCATAGTGTCACAAGCACAATACCATCAATCATGCCCCAGGAGCTGCGCATATATGCGTTTGGTGTCCAAAATAAACCATCCGCAACTGCTTTTATAGCCGCCTCAACTGTGAAAACTGAGGTAAAGGCGAGATCAGTCCAGACATACCAGTTCCACGTGTTTGTACTGTGGTTTTCCCTGTACTCTTTCTGGTAAAGTGGTGTTGTAACACAAGCCAAAATTACCATTGCGACAACAACAGCGTATACAAAAGCGGAGAAAATGTACCAGGCTACTTTGTTGGGCTGCACACCATCGAATCTCTCGGGACCTCTCGCAGGGCCAACCAGCTTCTGGCAAAGCCGTCGCAGGGGATGCTTCGGTTTGAAAATATACAGCGAATTATTGTATCTTGGATGCCGAGAGAGGTATTCTCGTTGGGCTTTTCTTCTTGCCGATGTTGCTGAAACCGCCTGCCGAGCCATTTGACGTGGATCGAGAGTATCATTTGGACCATCAAATCGGATATTAGAGTAAAATGGATTCGGGTCTTTATTCTTCAACTTGCCGAGAAGGCGCTTCCATAACTTGGAAATCATGCCTGGATTGGCATCATTACCAAATAATGCAGTTGCGCTTCTCTGTGGCATGGAGACTGCAGTTTCATGCACTGAGTCTGAGGATTCGTCGTTCAGGAAGTCCCGTACCACTGCATCTTTGAGGAGCATTTCCATCATCGCTGGCCCATAGTCTAATGGATCCCGACGTCGGCGAGATTTTCCTAGGCTAAATATTGTCGAGAGTGCGAGATTGCTAGGGTTGTGTCCAAGTTCTTTCCTCTGTAGGAAAGCTTTGACTTGTTCGAGGCGTTTCTCGTCTTCTGAGACATCAAAATTCTCTTGAATGACAGCAATGAACATATTGACCAGGATGAAAAAGGAAAGGATAAACCAGCCTATGAGAAACATCGCGCCAATCCAGGCAGTATGAAACTGCTTTGTGTGGGACGTGACGGAATACAGAATTTCGGTCCAATTCTCACTTGATAGAATCTGGTACATCCCCAGAAATGAATTGTAAATCGTGAAGAATGATATTCTGTTCAGTTCGCCGTCATCCGTACTCTGAGGAATCTGACCACGAAAAAGTTGCGAGGCAAAGATTGCAACTAGGAACGTCATCAAGAATACGAATAGCATCAAATTGGCAATACCAGCAGCATTTCCAAGTACAAGTAGAATGAGTTTCCGAGTGACAGGAATCGCCAATACAATCCTGTAGACTCGAACAATTTGGAACACTGTAAGCCATAAATATGCCCGAGTGTTAGGAATCGGCGGGATAAGTATAACCGTCGTTACAACCGCTAAGAATAGATCGAAATTGTTACGCCAACTCCGGTAGAATCCACGCCAGTCCGCAGCAAACCTAAGTAAGATCTCAATGTCGAGAAAGACGGTTGCAATCACCTCCGCTATGTGGATGAATTTCTCCCGAGAGTGCGACATTTTGGAGCTGCGCAAAGACTGGCAAAGCAATGCACAGGTAATAACTAGTACCCAGAAAGCCGTGGTCCGATCATAAATCCGACGTAATCGTGATCTCCGGACCCGTTCCTCTGGTCGAGTGGGCAAAGACGGCTCATTGTCCGCAGTGAAGGCGCTAGATTTGCTCTCTTCACGAATGACTTGGAATGATGAGGTGATGACCGCAATGAGCAAATTTGTCAGCCATAGTAACATGATCATTATTCCAGCACCAAAAAACAAAGCGGCTTGTAGGTAGTCGGACGCCATTGTGTGGTACATCAGGTCGGAGAAGGTGTTCGCGCTCATTATGACAAAGACTAGCTCCAGAGAATTGGCAATGTTATCAAAATTAACGGTACCCTTGTACGGGTTTTCTTGCTGAAGGCAAAGGGACCCCCGAGGGCAAATGAATCCCTTGCCATCTCGAGCCCCATTAACCAGGCTTGCCAGCGAGTTGGTGCTCCCGAACTTCACCCAAGGCAAGATTTGACCAGTCTGATTATCCAAGTGACCTCCACAGAATTGCATATCATTGGTATACGCCGCTGTAAGATTCTGAGGGTCGGATGGATCCAACCACACACATTGCCGCTTCAAGCTAGACTTGAAGCTCTGGATCCCAATGATCGCAAAGAGTAGCCAGAAAAACATGACCAAGAACGCAATCCGAACGAGTAGAGGCGCAGCTTTTTTTAGGCTTCTCAAAATGATCTGCATTACAGACATATTTAGAAAGCTGAGACAGATTAGGAGGAGTGTGGGAAGGCGCTTACCGCAGTACCATGAGTCAAAGCCAAAAGCCTCAATATTCGGAGGCAACTGAGCATTTTGAATACATATATGTGGTGCCGGCTTTCGATTTCGGCAATACCCAGTAGAAATGCCACCCAAAACGAGACAACCGCCACAAAGTCTAGGCGGTTGAATGAGTGTCGCAAAAAGGCACGTCGCGCTAGCTGATAACGCTGTTGCTCTTCAATGGTTGAAGGTAGCGATTGTTGGCTTTGCATCATGGTGGTAAAGGAGCGGGAGAAGGTAGAATGCTGTGGTTCCGTTTGTGAGCTGCTTTTTACGGATTTTTGTCGTTGGGGTCGAAAGGCAGTTCTGTATTGTTCTACAATGGCAGCTCTAATACCCTTTTGGCGATCTATTGTGCTATACTCAGCAGCATTAAAAAAGAACCCTGAAACGATAATACGTGCAGTAAGTTCCACGGTGAAGACGATGAAGAGTCCAAGCATAATCCAGTCAATGGTATGTCTCCCCCATCGGTCTGGGCGCTCATTGCCTGGAAGAAAGACACTAGGGCCAGATTCTACAGCCAGAAGAATAACCTGCAGAACGATGAGCACAAGTATGAGTGGCTCTGTGTATGGGTTGACTAGTAGGTTACACAGCCAGAGCCTGATCCGGCTTTGTGGAGAGAAGATGCCCAACGAGCGACCTTTGAGAGGATTGGGTGGTCGGCCACAAGGGAGTGAGGGTCGATACTGACTAACCGCATCCATCTTCTCTGGTGCAATCTGCGTTGTCTGTGATTGATACGATGTATCGACAAGCATAGAGACTGCTGGGCTTCTCCCCCGGTCATGTCTAGATGCTCTTGGCGACCGTGATTGCGGTCTTGATGCCCTGTGATCCGGCAGCTCACTCTCTCCACTGATATTTACCACTCGCTGAGACATTGCTCGAACAATCGAACCGGCGCGGAGAAGAGCACCTGATGGCGACGTAGATCGAGAGACTCTGTATTCACCAGGGCCCAAGGTGCCACCATAACTGGGTTGTCTCCCTCGTGAAGTTTCGCAAGAAGATTGGACATGATGTCCTAGGTTGTTTGATTGACGGTCCTTGGCTGTGTTGCAATCGAAGTCTGACACAGTTTGGAAACTGCTTCGAATGTTGGGGTCATGGCCATCAACTGGCATGGATCCCGATATTGGCTGTGCTCCGGCAGTGAGGGGCATCCGGTCGGAATCATCGTACTCGGTGCTCGGCGGCTCTTCGATATATGACGGTCCTACGAAGGTACCGACAGAATGGGAGTCATGGACGCCATGTTCTTCTGAGAGAGATGTCTGAAAATCTGGCGGAAGGGCGGCTTGTAGAACAATTGGGTCTATAGGCGAACTAGAACCTGTCCCATCGTCGGATCCGTTCTGCGAGGCATACCAATAAGTCGTGTTTGCAGGAACACCGTCAGAAACCGCTGGTGAATGTCTATCACCGCTTCGGTCAAATGTAGGTCCGTACTGACGACTGGGTGGCAGCCAGTCTGTTGCACTGCCTCCTGGAGTTAAGAGGAAGTCTTGTAGAGGAATAGAGCGACGACGCCGCGCCTGGCTGCCGTCGTCTGAGGTGTTGGAGGACATGGACTGCGTAACTGGTAGTAGCTCGAAATCGACGTTGGGAGTAGTCAGCCGAACATCACGATCAACAGATTGCGTGTGTCGAAGCGCCGGGAGAAGCCAGAAGCATGGTCAACAGCTGTTATCGCCTTAATAAAACGGTAATGAGACTGCCTATAGTTGCGGTAAAACAATATTGACGAGCGCTTTTCTTTGCTTGCCGATGATGTTGAATCTGCAAGATCGCGTGGCGCGACGAAGTCCAGTGGAAGTGAGAGTTGATGAAGCCAGCTTCGGATAGACACTTTTTACCTTGAAATATCGCGGACACCCTTCATGAAAGGCACTTCGGCTACTCCGTATTTATGCAGAAGGCTCTCCGAAATGCAACGATATTTGTAGGCTGAATGCGAAACACTGACAGTGCGAATGATGGCACAGTCTCTAGGTATTTACCCCTGGGACGTGTATCATTCCATCTGGCACATGCGCAGCTTCAACTCGGCTGCATTTGATCGTGGCACCATGTTCTTCCTGCAGGTGTGGGGCTGTAGCTGAGGGCCAGTGTGGCGCAGTACCAACCTTGACTGAGTAGCTAGGTACTTAACAGATGGGCTGTATTGCACCTTTTAGCCTTCAACAGCATCAGAAAAGGACTGTTAATAAGAATACCTTTTTTTTTCTTTTAAATAGCAGCTAAACTCTAGGTTATGATGTCTATCTACCTAGATATATATGCTTATCTTCGAGAAAACTCTTACACGTCACAGCATCTGAAAGCACGGTAAGCTGCTTAGTAAGCTTACCTGCTACCTAGTACTTGATAGGTAGGGTAGGTACCTACCTACCTATGCGCGCGGCTCTTAATTCTAGTAATAGTATAACTATTATAAGATAAGTCTTTAATTATTATTAATTATTAAAAGTCTTATATATTAAGTAAAAAATTCTATTTAATTATCTTATAATAGTTATGCTATTACTAGAAATAAGAGCCGCGCGCGTAGGTACCTAGGTACTTAAGTATAGAGTAACGTAATCCGTACGAAGTAATAGTGTTTAAAAGGATAGCCCCTCGGTTGTGTTAAGGCTGCAAGCAGGTCACTTGGACCCACATTAATCGACTGCAGCTAGGTACCTCAAGTGACCGCTAGTCGCGTTAGGGTGCGATGTGTGTGATGTAGCTCTTTGTAGCTCGGATGCTTGCTAGGACTTCTATCATAGTGTAATTTAGGTGTGGAATTAAGTGCCCTTCATAATCCGGCTTCTAATTGGATGAAAATCCCTACCGGTACAAGCTTGCAGCCTTAACACAACCGAGGGGATAGAGCTTCGCCAGTACCAGTCGATGCACCACCGGTCCACAATGTGACACCAGATTTGTCAAAGACGAGTGTGGGTGGTGACCCCTGTCCAGTTTTTCACGATTTGCATCCACAACAGCCGCATCTAACTTATTGCCATCCCACTTCATTCGGGTTATTTGGCCCGTTCGTTACGTGGCAGAACATTCGCCATGCCGTCGCACAAACGAGCAATATCTGGTGATAGCGGTGATGAACCGCTAGCTATTTTACATCGTATCCGCAACATGTGGCAATTCGCCAACCTGTGTCAGTGGATATACATGTTTGGCAAGGCTGCGAAGATTGATGATGCCATCGACATTGAGGTGGGTGCATATAAACGTGACAACTGTTACACTGGGTAGTGTCTAACCAACTCTGAACTCTCGAGCTATTAGGAAATCGAAACGGATTGTTTGAAACCACAACCGACGCTGCTCTCAGATATAGCACTGGCTTTGCTCAAACTAGTGTCCACACACCGTGGACTGACGTGAGCTCTTCCGAAATACCCAAGTCATGATAAAGTCTCAGTATGCTAACTTTTCCACCAAGACCAGATGTACTGGATGACCAACTTCGAAAGCAATATCTAGCGAAAGCACCGAAACAGAGCCCGTTTGGTAGCGAGACCAACCCCGTGTCTTTCAGCGGCTTGGATGTCTTTACGAAGGTAGGCAGAACTGTATCAGTCGTATTCGAGCTATTGTAATTTTCGACATTAACTGGCAATATGAGCAGATCAAGGTTCTTCAAAAGCTGACACAATGGACAATGGTGCATCCGGAGCGCCTTCGAGAGAAAATGGTAGAGCACAAGGATGCTGAACAGTCCAATTGGGTATTAAGCCTCGCCACTTTCTAAATTTACCTGATATTTATTAATTAAATCTAGCGTATCGAACCGTATGGATGGGACAAACACGACCGAGTGTATTATGTGTTGGACGACAACAGAATATACCGATTTACAGAACCACAAAGCAATGACCCTCAACTAAAACCCAGAAAGACGAAGCAGTACCGGACTGGTCGCCGAGTAAGCAAGAGACGACGCATAGCGTCATCTTGTGAAGACGATGTTGAGGATTTGAGTAACAGACAATATGATTCACAGCTTCCCGAGGATGATCTTGGTGGAGGGACTTGGGAATGCATTGCTATCACGTTGCAAGAAACCAAGGCTTTCATAGAAACATTGGCGAGAACTCGTGATGGAAATGAAAAAACATTGCGAAAACAGCTAGAAATGCATTTACTACCGATCCTTGAAAAGCAGGAGGAAGCGACGAAACGACGAGAGCTCCAGAGAGCCGCGCGCGTAGGTACCTAGGTACTTAAGTATAGAGTAACGTAATCCGTACGAAGTAATAGTGTTTAAAAGGATAGCCCCTCGGTTGTGTTAAGGCTGCAAGCAGGTCACTTGGACCCACATTAATCGACTGCAGCTAGGTACCTCAAGTGACCGCTAGTCGCGTTAGGGTGCGATGTGTGTGATGTAGCTCTTTGTAGCTCGGATGCTTGCTAGGACTTCTATCATAGTGTAATTTAGGTGTGGAATTAAGTGCCCTTCATAATCCGGCTTCCAATTGGATGAAAATCCCTACCGGTACAAGCTTGCAGCCTTAACACAACCGAGGGGATAGAGCTTCGCCAGTACCAGTCGATGCACCACCGGTCCACAATGTGACACCAGATTTGTCAAAGACGAGTGTGGGTGGTGACCCCTGTCCAGTTTTTCACGATTTGCATCCACAACAGCCGCATCTAACTTATTGCCATCCCACTTCATTCGGGTTATTTGGCCCGTTCGTTACGTGGCAGAACATTCGCCATGCCGTCGCACAAACGAGCAATATCTGGTGATAGCGGTGATGAACCGCTAGCTATTTTACATCGTATCCGCAACATGTGGCAATTCGCCAACCTGTGTCAGTGGATATACATGTTTGGCAAGGCTGCGAAGATTGATGATGCCATCGACATTGAGGTGGGTGCATATAAACGTGACAACTGTTACACTGGGTAGTGTCTAACCAACTCTGAACTCTCGAGCTATTAGGAAATCGAAACGGATTGTTTGAAACCACAACCGACGCTGCTCTCAGATATAGCACTGGCTTTGCTCAAACTAGTGTCCACACACCGTGGACTGACGTGAGCTCTTCCGAAATACCCAAGTCATGATAAAGTCTCAGTATGCTAACTTTTCCACCAAGACCAGATGTACTGGATGACCAACTTCGAAAGCAATATCTAGCGAAAGCACCGAAACAGAGCCCGTTTGGTAGCGAGACCAACCCCGTGTCTTTCAGCGGCTTGGATGTCTTTACGAAGGTAGGCAGAACTGTATCAGTCGTATTCGAGCTATTGTAATTTTCGACATTAACTGGCAATATGAGCAGATCAAGGTTCTTCAAAAGCTGACACAATGGACAATGGTGCATCCGGAGCGCCTTCGAGAGAAAATGGTAGAGCACAAGGATGCTGAACAGTCCAATTGGGTATTAAGCCTCGCCACTTTCTAAATTTACCTGATATTTATTAATTAAATCTAGCGTATCGAACCGTATGGATGGGACAAACACGACCGAGTGTATTATGTGTTGGACGACAACAGAATATACCGATTTACAGAACCACAAAGCAATGACCCTCAACTAAAACCCAGAAAGACGAAGCAGTACCGGACTGGTCGCCGAGTAAGCAAGAGACGACGCATAGCGTCATCTTGTGAAGACGATGTTGAGGATTTGAGTAACAGACAATATGATTCACAGCTTCCCGAGGATGATCTTGGTGGAGGGACTTGGGAATGCATTGCTATCACGTTGCAAGAAACCAAGGCTTTCATAGAAACATTGGCGAGAACTCGTGATGGAAATGAAAAAACATTGCGAAAACAGCTAGAAATGCATTTACTACCGATCCTTGAAAAGCAGGAGGAAGCGACGAAACGACGAGAGCTCCAGCGAGAACGCGAGTTGTTAAACATGGCCAAGATGGCAAATGCCAAAAGGTCGAGTCGAATTGCCGATAAGGTGGAAAAGAAGAAGAGAGATGTAGAGGAAAAGGAGGAACAGCGTCAGAGGTTAGAAGCCGAGAGAGCCGAGCACCGGGAGAAGCTTGCCCAGCTTAAGCTTGAGCAAGAGCGCGATTCCCGCATGTATGCTCGCCAGCGTCGTTTGAAGGAGAGAGAAGCCCGTCGCATGCGCCATGAAGAAGAGCTAGCCCAATTGTCTGAGGATAGCAAGCACGCTCCTGAGGCCGCACGCATCTCTGAGCGACGCCTTCATGCCGAGATCCAGCGAAATCAACAAGCACTAAAGGACATTGAACAAGAAGAAGACAACTGGGTCTTTGATTGCATTTGTGGATTACATGGCCAGGTTGATGATGGTACTCACAGCGTTGCCTGCGAATCTTGTAACGTTTGGCAGCACAGCAAGTGCCTAGGGATCCCTGAAGACGAAGCAGACCAAAGCGAGTTCCATTTTGTTTGTTCGTCTTGCAGGCGCCGAGACGATGACAAGAATACATCACCAAAGACTATCATCAAAATCAAAGTTCGACCGTCGAAGACCATGTTGAACGCTCCAACAAGGGTGGATGCACACACGGTATCGGAAGTGAAACATGATTCGATCATCTATTCGGGTCAAGGTCATTCGGCGGATAAGCCATCATCTTTAGTGTTACAGAGGAAAACTCAGCGCAACGGGTTGGTAATGGTCTCCAATCAACCGCCATCTCAAGCGACAATATCCAGACTTCCTTCTAATAGAGATGTTGAGTCTTACAAGTATTGCAATTCTTCAAACAAGGCGTCTCGCAATATTTCTGGCCCTACAGCGCTATCTGAAAGTCAACCCGTCGCTACTTATGGTTCGTCTACTGCAAAGCAGGACGTCACCAGGAATGCACAGGCCGGAGGATTAGCTCAGCTCAGTTTGCCCATTGTGGACACAAAGGCTCCAATTGATGCAGGTGAATCCCTTTCTTCAGCACCCTATTTGGCACCAGGGGATAGCAAATACTCGGCCCTACGTCTCAATCAAACCGGTTGTTCTCCTTTAACACAACAATCACCAACAATCCTCATGCCGGTCACACACACAAAGGACAATCTTGGATCATGCAAAGAGGCCGCTGAGGAAAGAAATTCACCGTCTGCACCTGATTCACTATCGGTCTCCATTACATCATTTGCGGCTACACCAGGCTTTGTATCAACGCCAATAAGGCCGAACGAAGAACACGAGGCCGGTTAGATGTTACAAAATACAATGGGTATGAAAGCAAGTTGCCCCTGTTGTGATTATCCTCTGCATTCTCTTGAACACATGCAGCCAAAACCAATGTGCCTCTGGAAGGTGGCAGGGCGAAACTACTTGGCTAGGGACGGCACTGAGGAAGATCTACCAACAACGATTCCACCTTCGAGTCGGCTTTGTATTATCACAGCCCTAAATTTGCATCAAGAAAGTCATCAGCCATGAAAGAAGTCGTTATTGATGCAAGAATGCAAGCTCTCGCAAATGTGAAGTTTATAATGGGTGGATTGTCTTGCATCTGCTTACAGAGGACTCGTCTCGACGAGTGGAAAATTCCTATATTTCGCTTTTTTACATTGACAGGTTCTCATCATGCGTGGAGCCATGTGACTCGGTTTACAATTTTAGTAGTATTGGCGCCATAAGGTGTGTGCTGTCTCACGAGCTATTCTGATGCTTAGTATTTAACAATAATCTGTCTCGACTCTTCATGCCTTCAAATGAATTTTGTTATCTCAAAGACTATTTAGAAGGGCAAAGCCGGATAAATTGGGATGTTTCACATGCTCTGCGCAACTTGCGGTCAGAGGGTCTGAGTGAAGCAACTGTGACCTCATATTCTGGCCACATACTATTCGCGCAAAATATATCACGCTTTGATACTCTCCAGACCCCGATGGTTGACCCCAAACAAGGGGGCGCCTTGTCAAGGCCACTCGCTGGCACTTAGTCGGGCTGAATTGTCCGCATGGTGGTCCGTTTCACAACGCACAGCCCACAACGGTGTGTGCTTTGTGGCCGCATGCGGCAGAATTGTATTTTTGAACCTGAAATGTTTCTTCTGCATAGAACTATCGAGCAAAGGCGAGGGTGGTGTCGTTGGTATTCCGGTAACCGAAAAAGCTTGTGACGGCCAACAACACAATGTCGCAGAAGGCTGACCCGTCAGGGCTATATTTTGCTGTCTCTAACCTGCTTTCAAGGGGGTTATTATATAAGATAAACGTCACCTCCTCATCCTCATTTCTATTTTCTTGTGCCTATCGTGTAACTTATTTACCCAGTTTATCCTGCAGCTAACTACTGTTGGCAAAAACCTATTCTTTCCCACCAAGTGTGATCTCAAGCGTTGTGGCTACAAAGCCGAAAATTGTTCCAGATCCCACGCATCTATAACATACCTGCTTGGACAGAAGCTTTAAACATTACGCCAATTCCATCACCTCTTGTCAACGAAAAGGTCCGAACTGCGAGTCTGCTAGACACTGTTCAGAGGGTTCACAATACCAAAGCAGACTCTGGATTCGTCACGAACCTCGTACAGCAAGTACACACTCCCGACATGTAGGTCTCTTATATCTTATCTTGGGAGTGTTCTCTATTAACAGATTCCAGATACTATTCTAGTCCAGGAAAGGCGGAAGGGAATCGTTCGATTCTTTCTCGAGCACTGTCAGCTGCAACAGGTCAGTAGCGTAAACGTTCCAACAGAGATGATTACACATATGCTAACTAATTCCCAGATTCACGTTAGAGGTCATCGTCTCAAGGTGCCACCAATGTCAAGTCCTCGACCTGATAATACAACAGATAGAAACAACATGCGGACCGGGAGGGCTACGCCAGTAGGAGTTTCTGAGCGTGCCAATCTGTCACATGCCTCAATAACGGCCCGAAACGAATCCACATCATCAAAGTCATTTACTACCGATTGCGACTCATTAATCAAGATACCGTTGTCTTCACTCTCCAGGGAATACCCTAGTGACTACAATGACCTCGAAGCTTTTGCAAAACGTTCGGTCGAGGAACGCCAAAGGAAAGCGAAGGAGGAAGGGAAGGTATTGAGGCCATTGAACTCGTACATGCTGTATCGAAAAGCATACCAGCAAGTTGCTCGGCGAGTACTCAGCAATGATCAGCAGCAACTTGCTTCCAAGATTGTTGGTATATCATGGAACAATTATGAGCCTAAGGAGATCAAGGACAGATTCAAGTCTTTGGCGAAAATCGATAACCAAATGCATCGTAAAGCATTTCCCGCATATAAATACACCCCTAACCAAGCAAAGAAGTCAAAGAGCGGCGCACTGGACTCTAAGAAACTGTCACCCTCAATCGAGCGCCGGATATGCCGACGGTTCAGTAACAAAGAAGCATATCCTCATGGAACTTCGGGGAAGAAACTTATTCGACCAAATCACGTAGAAGCACTAGGGCAGCATCAATCCGGTGAAGGGAACATGAACATTAAGTGGTGGACACAGGGGCCACCAAGCTTCGCAAACCCTTTGGTGTACCATGGTGGGCATCATGATCGCTATGAGCAGCCCTTCGCCGCGGAGTCTAGGTACTTTGAGTCTCAATACCCCGACGTCCTCGATGATGCCTCTTTCAGTCAATTACCAACTCAACAGGCAGCACTGGCTGCTAACACGCATGAGCGCCTTGCTGGGGATGAATGTATTGCACCGTTGTTCCTCCAGTCGTTTGAAAACATGAGCACTTCCCAGAACCCTGGTGGATATTTGGATTGGCAATCCCAAGAGACGCAAGTAGTCCATGACTTTTCTCCTATTACACCTGACATGAATGCTGGTCAAGCTGCCGACCACGCATATGAAGGGCAGGAGGAGTGGGCAGTTCAGCATATTGATGAACGACAGAATGCTTTTGGCTGGCATCCAATCAGCGAACAGAGAAGCAGATAACGGCCTGGTATAATTATGAGTATTATAGATGCGCATGTATTCAATGAAAATCTGCTTTATAGAATTCTAGTCGTCCGAAAGTAACTTGTGAGTTGTTGTTTATTGTGATACTAGTAGCTGCTGTGTTTCCATTAATTGACGGTTCCGCCCGCTCAGCATGCAAAGAAGAGGATGAGGTGTCAAATGTCAATGTGATTTACTCCGATCCCTGTACGCTAAGGTACTTGGCACCATCCATCTCCCTACTCAATTATAGGTACCTAACTATAATTAGTACGTCGGCGAGGTGTCCTTTCAAATCGTCTAACATTTCAACACGTCTTTACGCACTGAGGGAGACGCAATTCATGTTTCGGACGCTTTTGGTTAGCGCATGAATTAGTAAGCCATTTAGTTGCACTTGTTATGTGGGTACTGCTGTCTCGTCAAGCAACGCAGGAGGAACGAACACACGAGAACAGGCCAACATATTGGCTTGGAGTCTTGGACACACTGATAACCCTCTGATGCCGGTGAAAATGCCATGGACTTCAAGGACAGTAACTCTCGTAGGAGTATTCCTACTGATACATGCGTATGTGCCCACTGGAATATAGGCCAGATATCTCTGCTGACTCCACCAACCACAGTTGTTATTCAGCACAAGAGCACTCGGCCATCTCGTCGACATCGAAAGCGCAATCCCTAGCCCAGCAGCACGCAGGAAGCACACTTCCGATTGACATCCGCGTAGAGACAATGGTGGCCACTTTGATTGTGTGCCTTGGTACCGTGATTGGGTCGGAAAAGCTACACCCTATACGGTGGCAAGTATGGGCGGGGAAGATCGAACGGGTTGGCAAAGCAGGCTTTCTTGATGGCAACGGGCAAGTGGACAGAGATTTTCGAGGAAGCCCGTTCAGAATTCTAGAATATCGCCCAAGCTTTCTCGATATCCGCAGGCAACGTCTTGCCTTTGCAAAGTGGGTGAATACTAGAGATACACTCTAAAAATGGCCGTGTTCGATGTTAAGGCTTCACTGAGGTGCCAGCTGCATATCGTACCCTCAAAACAAGAAGTTTTGTGCTGTTCTTTACAGATGCAAGCGAGTTGGGAGATGACAAATATATCCTTCGATTATCATGTCTTGTTTGGAGTCATTCATACAGTGCAACATCTTCGTCTGTAGCTACATGCAAGATGGGCCATACCTTTCAGCTCAGCTAATCTAAACTTCATGATCCATCTTTCTAGTATCGTACGAGCTGATTTATCTATCTACTTAATGCTTCTACTATTATAAGTCCTCGACTTCAACCAGACTTCTTTTAACGCTATTGTGTTCGGAGGAGCTATGCGTCTTGGTTGTTCATATATGCACCAAGGTGCGCATTTTTAGGGCCGAAAGGTAGAGATAATCCCTCGTAATATCTTTATCCGATCTTACCTAGGTATTTTTCACGGGTGACGTTATTGGCCAGCTATGGCAATGCGAGGAAAGGAGCGTCCAGATGACTGCTGCTTCCTGCCATTTTTCGGAGGGCCACAATGACAATCTTTAGTCATCCGCCGTGCCTGTGAAGCTATTGAGCCTCGTGGAAAATGACTTCCCATCACTTAACACCAGTGTTCTTCAACTAGCATCATCTGGAATTTCCTAATACCCTGCACCGCCAATCCACTTACCACTATGGAGGCCGCAGTCTGTACTCTCAGGTCGCAAGTGGAGACTGACGAACCTCTTTGTGGGTTGCAACAGTCCACGGAGGTCATTATGGCCCTCGATGTTTGCCACGATGGAACCATGGGATGTGCTTTCTTCGACAGTATTGACGGCTCCCTGCAGTTGGCAGAAGATGTCCATCGATCGACTGTTGACGTGTCAGAGCATTTCGCAACCCTTGCATGCCCGACATTATTATTAGTTTGCAGCAGAGCTCCGCAGGAGTTTCTAGATCACGTTCAAAGGAGTAAGGACAATTAAGACTGGTCGCCTAGTCCCCTTCTCCCATTCCCTGCATCAACTCCTACTTGTGTCTTCTTCATGTAGCAGTTGTTCTAACAGTTGCTAGGCGCTTTTCCTTATAAGAGCTGTGTCCGAATACTATCCTCATCGGAGTTTTCTGTCGAGGCAGCGGTCGACAGGCTGACAAGTTGGAGAAATTATCGGCCGTCAACTGCCCTGACAAGCTCAAGAGCTCCAGTTGACAGCAGTGTCCTCCGTGGTCTTCCTAATGGCGGAGATGGGAAGAGGGTAGATCGTTGTAGCATCAGCCTTGAAGAGGGTGTTCCCAACGCAAGTACTAGTGAACACAAAAATCCTGTGTCTGTAAGAAGCGACTCTAAGGCTGAAACAACTCACAGCTAACGACTGTAGCTCGGTTGTGCTGGCGCTGTCCTCTCCGAGCTTCGTTGCAAATGCATCTCGAGAAACAGCCCCTCTTCTGGGCCTATATCACATCAACCCATCCCTATCAAGACTTTTAATTTGGCAAATTATGTCGCCCTAGGCTCAGAAACATTGCAAACCCTGCAAATTATCCAGTCTAAAATTCACCCGAACAGCCAGTATTGGGGCGGGAGAGTGCAGAGTCAAGATCAAAAAGAGGGCCTCTCCATATATAGCCTCTTTTCAGATCACAGCCACACACCTCAAGGCAGAGCCAAGCTTCGTAGGCTTATAGCACGTCCAGTCTCAAACGTTTCAGTAATTGAGGACCGCCAGCAGGCTATCTCTTTATTCCTTCTGCCGCGTAATGCAGACAAAACTCGACATATCATTAGAGTCCTAGGAAAGATTCGTAATGCGAAAATCTGTCTGGAGTACCTTCAAAAAGGCACTGGGTACTCTCTTACAAGACAGGCCTTCAAAGGGAGCGTCTAGGCGATGCTCCGTACATTTGTTTCTCAAGCTTTGAAATTACGAGGCTTATTAATTGGCTTGGCTGACGATAACGACCATCATTTCATTCGAGCTGTACGTGCCATGCAAATGGAAATCCCCAGGAACATCGTATGTTTCGGGAACTAGCTGCAGAACTAATTCTTCAGTAGACGATTCCTAAATTTGATCAGGACTCCCTAGTGGCCATTGGCGAGCTAATTAGTCACACTGTGGACTTCGAACAATCCGAATACCGGGGTCGAGCCACTGTGAGGCTGGGCCTTGACCGGAATCTCGATGAATTAAGACGACATTACGACGGCATGAATAGCTTCCTGGCAGAAATTGTTGTTTCTACTACTCAGACAGTGCCTCAGTGGGCAGTTTCCCATATCAGATCATGCATTTTTCTACCGCAGCTTGGATTCCTCATTGTTACCGATCTTGATCCGAGAATTGGGAAAGGGAAATTCCACGGGAACTGGCCTGATGAGGATCACTGGGAACAGGTTTTTGTTGCCGACGATTCAGCTTATTACAAAAATGACAATATGCGTCACCTTGACGATCAGTTCGGCGATGTTTATTGCAAAATAGCAGGTAGGCCAAGAAAGTCCGAGGTATTTGCCTTACTGAAATGTCATAGATAGAGAAGTTGAGATTCTCCATATCCTTTCCCAAGAGGTTTTAAAATCCAGCGAGTCTCTGTCGGTGGCTTCCGACGCTTGCGGCGATGTTAACGCCATTCTCGCCTTGGCTCTAACTGCAGAGAAGTATAAATGGATTGTCCCGAAATTGACAACCAGAAGCGGCATTCTCGAAATTAAAAAGGGGCGACATCCGTTGCAAGAACTAGTTGTACCAAGTTTTGTTCCCAACGACTGTCATCTAGGAGGTGGAGGTCACAACGAGGACGATTCGTGTGAAAATCAGTCCAGATGCATGGTTCTTACCGGCCCCAATCACTCAGGCAAGAGCGTTTTCTTGAAGCAAGTAGGGCTCATCGTATATCTCGCCCACATAGGGAGCTTTGTCCCTGCAGAAATGGCGGTAATCAGTGTCACTGACCGGATACTGACCCGTATATCAACACTGGAGAGCGTTCGTAAAGAAGAAAGTGCTTTTGCTATCGACTTAAAACAGTTACTCAATTCGATAAAGCAGTCGACCTCGAAAAGTCTCTTGATAATCGATGAGTTTGGGAAGGGGACTAATTCAGATGACGGTGCTGGACTCCTTGCATCTTTCTTGGAACACTTATCATCGCTTGCAGTCAGAGCTCCCAGAAGTCTGCTCGCAACACACATGCACGACCTCTTTGGCTGTCACCAGCTGTTTCCGGCCAGTGGTTTACAAATAGCCCACATGGATGTACTCAAAGCACAATGTGAAGGGGTCAATTGTGACTACATAACATACTTATTCAAGCTTCGTGATGGGTATAGCTCGGATCGCTTCGGAGGTTACTGTGCAACTTTGAATGGAGTTCCCAATTTAGTCGTTGAACGTGCTAATGTCCTATCAATGCTGCTCAGTCGCAATGAGGACATCACAATTCCCTGCGCCAAACTTTCACCGGAAGAAGAGCTAAAGCTGCAGTCTGCTGAGACCGTTGCGCGGAAATTTCTAGAGGACTTTCACACCTTAGTCAGCGAAGAGAATTGTCTATTGCAGGATGCTCGACCTATGTTGCAAAATATACTATCCACATAGATGAATCCGAGTTGAAATGATAAATCTCCTATTCTTTCCAGGGTCTCAGACGCTCAACAAAGAGAAATGTGGTGGGAATACAAGGCTAAAAGCACGTGGGTAGGGTCCTCAAGATTTACAACACAGGGAAACCAGCGCTCGCTCATAGTCTTTCACAGACGCGTACTTTGAATGCCGCGTGTAGCAAATATCTACTGGAGCTTTCTTCTTTAATAACCGAGGATGGTGTTATGTAACTGAAACTTGAGTGACAGCTAGGCAATACACGTACAGAAGCTTTAGGATGCATCCCATACACAGCATGCATTCTAAGACAGAAGAAAAGGGCCAGGTGTCCTCGCCATTGTATGTTTGTTGCTGTTGGATTGGCGACGAACATGCATGTTGATATCTAAGCCTGCCGATTCTTCGAATGCATCTGGTGTCTTCGTCCTCCACTCACTAATTCCGCTGTTCAAGGTCATTTCAAATGTCTCGATACATAGCATGTCTCTCATCAATGATCAGAAAGAGACCCTGCTAATAAGCGACGTATGCTCGAATCTCACTCATTCGCCGCTAGGACATCGTCCTTTATGGATGGCTCTGTTTCTGACACCCTCCCAGTGTAGCGATTTTTGTCCAGGCTTAGAAAGACCACAGAAGATATGGCAGACTAAGGCATCGCATGCTTGTGTGTCATGACGAGCCACCTCTGCTAGTCACCTATCCGAGACATGACGCGATCTTGACCGAGTACTCTTTTTGCTTTTCTTGACAATCGTAAGCGTCTCGCATCTCCAATATATTCCGGTGTCAGGAAAAGTCTGTGCATGCTCGAAGGTGTCTTGAGAATATAATTCATGGTATAATATGAGCGCAGCGGGCAGTTGAGAGCCGCAGGCAGATATGGGCATTATTTTCAGCTTTTCGGCAGTTAGATGAATAAAAAGAGAGCAGCAAGAGATCCTCCTATAGCAGCCACAAAAAGTGGCGCGCCTGAGCTTTTCGTCCCTGTCTCTGAAGTTTGACTGAAGGATTCACATTTAGTTGCCTGGGCATTCGGGCATGCTTGGCTGCTCAGGCTTGCGCAGATCGACGTAGCGGACGCGCCCAGATTTCTCCCTTCCCCGTTGACAGTTGTACCTCCTCCTCCCGGAACATCAACAGTCACTGCATAACCACTCCCACCCAGGTTCATCAAGCAAGCGTTATAATTTTGAGAGCAAGCTTTCGTGGCAGATGCGCATGAGGCGCTATTCGGAAATGAGGTAGGTGCATATGGGAAGGAAAAATACGGATTCCGCACATAGGATGGTGTCGCAGTTGGGATGTTGCCTGGCGCAGTGGCTGGAGCTGTGCCAGTACATACGGCCCTGTGTAGAGCAATTTCGTTAGCACGTTGGTGATCCTCATCATTTGTTCAAGGGCTACACTTACCCAGATGGACAACATGCAGCGTTATGATTGCCATCTAGAGCGCAGAGTTGACCGTTCTGGCAGCAGACACCGTCGAAGACGGCACCAAGAGATGTTGGGCAAGGGAAAGTATTTCCTGGGCATTGTGTTCTGCCAAACAATAATGGTGTCCTGGCGGCGTTATATGTTGGCGACGCCTGATGCGCTGATACCTGTACTGAGATGGTGCCTAGCAAGATGCAACCAAGGGTTAAATTAAACTGCCCCATTGAGAGAGCCAGAAGTATCACGCTTCCCTAGACTATATATCCATCAGAGAAACTTCGGCAAATGGCGCGAGTGTAACCGGCCTGGGCGAGAGTCAAGTATAGACGTCGTAAAGAGTTCTGAAGCCTTTTTGGATATTTGGTCAATTCCGTTTCACGATTTCGTGGCAGTGACCTTGGAAAAATGGAATAGAATGCCGCCCATAGGATGGTGATGTAGGTGGTGTGGTGATTTCTGCTGGCCATCATGATGCACGCAATTCCTGTTCATGCGAAGTACCTAGTTACCTAGTACCTCCTTAGGGTAGCCGGGGAGATTGGTGGAGAATGATGTCACCTAACTGGTTGGCTCGGCAACAAATCATGTCAAAGTCACTTCTAGCTCGATTTCGAACCGGACAACTAACTCATCTTTGGAGGCAAAATGTATTGTAGCATTTTTTAATATACGGGCCTCTGCTGTATTTGATTGCATGTTATTTACATGATCAGTCCTGCCATATGCCTTTTTTTGACCTTACATCAAGGACCGCGAACATGGTTCAGGATGAGCCTAAGCCGATTTAAGGCCGTCGTGCTTGCCTCCAGAGATTCCTGGGTCTGGGTATATTGCTGCAGTTCCTCCTTCGCCTCCGTCGCGAGAGGTGCTAGATCCCCCCATACCTCGTCAGTATAGGAGGAAAGTACATCATTCCAGTGTCTCAGCCAGGTGCTTCGAGCAAGTCCTACGTCTGATGTGCCCATGTAGCTGTCCGCGTCCCTCCCGCAACCTTCCACTTCTACCACAAAAGCCGGGCTGAAGTTGAGGAGTTGGTCCCAAAACGGCCAGGAGCTCCCAGATCCGAATAAAGCGGCTCGTAGCCTGGCTGCCTCGGAGGGTGTCATCTCCCCTGGTTCCTCAGAAATTGGTAAATCCCCGGTTTCTGGCCGTGAGAGGAAATGCACCACATCAGAGCCGTCTAAGGCTTCTTGCTCCGTTACAGATTTATCTTTCCCCGGTGCGTCCAAGACATCAGTGGTGTGTAAGTTAGGTTTCGGTGTTTCCCCAGCTGCGAATGCCTCAAATGTATTTGATGTCCCTTGTAAGCCACGGTCCGATCTAAACGACTGTTGGGGCATAACAGCAGAAGCCTGTCTATTTCTCTGTTGCTCCGTTCCGGAAATCGATTGGTGCGTCGCAAGGCATGCTGATGCGCTCGATTCTCCCCCTTCCTTTTGGCTTGACGGGAAGGTTGGTATGCACTTGTCGCTTATTGCACTATGAATGATAGCTCTGCCAGATGACTGAAGCCTGTCGACAATCGAGACTGTACTTTTCCCCTTTCCTTTGTCATTGGACAAATTGGAAGTATTGCCATTTGCACTGGTATCCTGTTCTTCCAGCCACTTTTCGGAAGGTTGCTGTTGGGAATGTACTTCTCCCTCCTTCACTGGCATATTTTCCCCATCATCAGCCATTTCTAGTGTGGTTTTGGTGTAGAATCCGAATTCGTGTGATTGTTTGATCAAGATCCTTTCCTTTGCGGTACTTATGTTGGGTAGTGTCTTGCTGTGTGCGTAGCAGCCGGCCTTCTCCGACACAGATGGGAAGTTTATGTAGACCGAGTGCCTCTTCGTCACAGAATTTGGCTGGTCCTGGGATCATTGGGTTGAGCGAGTACTAGTTATAACCGAACCTCAAAACCCGTGGACGAGGCTTAGGCGCGGGCAAAGAAGGATGCCCCACTTTTGGGAAATTGGTCTCACATGCTTGCCACAAGCGCCAAGTACCTAACTTAGTGGGCGAACAGCAACAAGCTTCGACAACATCGCACGTCAGAATATGTGTGTGAGATAAATCGTCACTCACAATGTACATGACATTCTAGTAGTGTGAGTGATCAACTCATACACCGCGATGCATTTGGAGATGAAGAATTAGACCAGCCCACGGCTGCATTTCAGCTACACAAGTACTCTTGAATTAGTATTCCCTGTTATCCTTTTTCCGCTTTGAGCTTCTCTTAAGACAAAATTTTTTGAATCGCTACTTAAAGAGCTATGCTCATACCTATTGGAGGCCATGTATACAGTATACTTATTCTTTGCTAGATGTGCTTCCCTCCCTTCCAGAGCATTGACAAGAAAACTACATTTTCGTTTTTTAAAAAAGCTTAAATAATTAATAATAAATCTAATAAAATACTTAAATTATTACTACATTTTCATTTTTTAAAAAAGCTTAAATAATTAATAATAAATCTAATAAAATACTTGAATTATAATAATAAATACATAAAATATCTAATATTATAGCCAATCAGCTTATTTAAAAAGGTGGGTCCCTTTAGCTTTTTGTAAGCTTAAAAACTAGATTATATAGTTTTCTAAAAACTTACTACACTACACTATACTATAAAAACTATAAAATGTAGTTTTTAAAGTTTTAGGCTTATAATAGTATATAAGGACCCACTTTTTTTTATTATAAGCTTATAATTTTAGATTTATGCTAGTTATTCGTAAAACTTATAATTCTATAAGTATTTTATTAGATTTAATATAATTTTTTATATTCCAAACTACAAAAACTATAAAACTATAAAACTATACTACTTCCAATGCTCTGCGAGTCCCTTTCTACGTAACCCCTATTAGATACCGAACCCCTCCGATAAGTTAAAACTCGTCTCTAACGTAGCAGGATTGTTAACGTGCAGTTCAGACGGTGAGATGTAGCTTAAAGTCGCAAATACAAGGCACTTAACTTATAGGGTTATTATTAGCGTTAATTTTAACCGAGAAGTTATCTGGTTAGCGCGCGTAGGTTTCTATTTTGTTATACTATTACCTTATTGCTATTAAGGACTAGCTATACTATACTACTATAAGTATACGTCTTTAAAAAGTAAGAATAAACTTAAGAAGAAAGAGAAAGAGAAAGAAAGGTTTCCCTCTTTTTACTTCCCTTTATATCCCTACCTAACCTATAAATTATTTAGGTTAGGTTTAAGTTACCTTTATAATAGGTTTAACTTAAGCTTAAACTAATAGCTTAAGCTTATAATATATCCCCTTACTTACTTAAGCCCTTATAATACTTAATTAATAGTTATATAAAGCGTATTATACCTTTTTTTTATCTCTTATATTTATTTATTTTTATTACTTTATAAGAGTAGTATAAGCTAAATATAAATTAATTCTCTTATAATATCTTCTTTTTATTCTTTATAATTCTTATTTTTACTCTTATTTTAAAATAATTTTAAATCTTATTATACGTGTTTATAGTATTTATTTATTAAGTACTTAAATTAATCTCTTTTATTCTTATATTAACTTAAAAGAAAAAAA